AAGCGAGAGAGCGCAAACAGGCAGCGCGTCTGGCTACAGCTAAGCGTGCGACTAGTACTGCGGCAGCGCAGGCTGTGTGCAAAGACGGCACCCGGATATCACTACCCTCCAGCACTGTTCCTGCGCTTTTTTGACGGTATTGCAGCTGTGGACCTATTCACCACACCATGGTAATGACCAGGATTCACGGAGGTGAGTGTACAGTCTGCCCTTACCAGGTTCAAGCTTTCCAAACCGTGGGCATAGAAGTTTTGTTTTTGAAGAAATTATATAATTTCGGGCCAACAGGTTGGTCTGGCTGTTTTATACTTTTCTTCTGACTGGCAGGGTTCAGGACCTTCAATGCCAGATGTCGAGTAAACGCCGTCCAATTTATTGCAAGCGCTGATTTAGCAGGAGCTTCGTTTACACTTGGCAAGAGTGCACGTCTCATCGAGGTAATTCAACAAGAAGTACTATGTAGTAGATGAAATAAGCAAAAGTACAAAATGCTCTCTCCAAGCCGAATACCGTCAAAAAAATAATCCATCAATGTGCCCCGATACGCTTTCCGCTGAAACAAGCTGTGTTCGTGCTATTATCCGAAAAAAAGACTCATTCTAGCTTTCGCGCTTAGAAACCCACCCAAAAGACGCGACGCCATGGTTGAGAAACTTTCGACGAAAACCAGAACGGCAAAGAAGTCAAATGAATTGAAGGCGTTATAGACCAACCTGAATTGCTTTATAAGCATTGTCGTTAATTCTGTGGTCAGATCGGGCATCACCGGGGAAAGTGAAGCAACAAGGCGAGCATAAAATGGTAACAAATCCAAACGTGATGAAGGCACTCCATATAGCACTTTGACAAGCTTTTTACGATAACTCTGAGAAGTCAGGCAGTGACTTAGGTTCATTGTTTTAAACCATAAAATAAACATTAAAAAACACTAAAAATGTCGAGGTGTTTCGTATAGACATTCACCTTTGTATTTAGATTTGAAACGAAATCAAGGGCACATTGATCCGTAGTATCACGGTTAACGAGGTGATCGAGATTTAAGAAGAATTTCTGAAAATTTCTGTTTTTCTTCATTCTGAATATCCGGTCAATTTCTGGGCAGGCTCGAGCAATCCCGATCGTGACGAGAAACATCATCGATCATGTCCTAATAAGACTCGGAATGAAAGTAAATTTCGGTTCTCTAGAGATCACCTGAGCAAGCTGCTTCATTTCCTCCGAAGTGATGAGTGACGCATCACCTGCGCTCGTCAAATCTTCATTGAATTGAGCAGGAGAAGGTGGAGTTTTTGGTCGATATGGCTCATCCGTGTTCTCTTCTTTCTCTTCTTTCTCACTAAATAAGACACATTAATCTTTTAAGAAGCACTGACCACTATTCGAGAGGTTCCTTCCTTGAGCAGAGTGATCAGGGCACGTCCTGCCGTTTAGGAAAACTCCGCAGAATATTACCCCGCAAAGTCAGCGAAACGGGAAAATCCTGTGAAAAGCCATCAGACAAAATTTTTTTTTCCATCACTCGAGGTGGGCTAATGAAAGTGGTGGGCGGTGAGTGAGGACGGCCGATGCCACTCCGCTTTCAGTGCGACCAAATATGGCGACGCTTCACTGGCAATTCAGGGTGGCGAATGGGGCGTAGCACTGGCTCTTAAAATGGCGGTAGCAACGAGGTCTATGGGCTCTATTTGCGTCTGCTGCTCTCGTTCGCTCCAGCCAGTTTTGACTGCGTTTTACGGAGCACGTACTGAGCCATAAATGGGATATGGGGCTGAATAGGTCTTAAATTGAGGCTGTGGGGTTCGTGAACAGATGCGGCAAAGTGCGGGCGATGTGGATATCTGAAATCTGTTTTTGGTTTTTATGTAACTTGCCGTTTAACGCCGACGAGTGTGCGATCGGGGGGCGAGTATAGCTATCACGAAGATATGCTGGAGTTTATGGTGCAAAATTTAGACTGCACGGACGGGATTTCGAAGCGGGCCTCATGCCTTCTGGGGCTTTTGGCGCGTGGGCAGCCTGGCGGTTCGCATGTTACGGTGGGGCTAGGCGCGGAGGCTCACTTTTGTACGCACTCAAATAACACGGTTGAACGTGTGAGTGGCTCGAAAGGCAATGGCAAGCAAATAGCCAATTGAGGGCTGAGTGGTGCAAAGTGAAGTGGGCCGCGCGGTAGCGTAATCAAGATAGACCGGGCAGGCTGACGGAAAGGCATGAAAGATCGCAGTTGCGAATTGCCGCAACCGTGGTCTGACTTTTGCCCATAACTCAGTATTCTTGTGATAGCAATCTGAAATCACCCTCAATGAGACACATAAACTACTGTTTCAGTGATAGTGTGCAGCTGACCTGCACATCATCTGCACCTGATCGTATGGCGTACTCAGTGGTGATCGGAGATAAAAGAAATTAGTCAAAAGCGTCCAGCTTAATTACGACGTACTTTCGATTGACCAGAGGCATATTTCTACAGACGCGGTGCACCTCGGCTTGCTGGGACGTAATGAAACTCAGTGAAGCCTGTACAGGTCAACTCGTCAAAACCTGGGAGTTCCTGCAACTACAGCGGCTCACCTGAACAACTTCGCAGCTTTAAAAGAGCCCACAAGCCTGATCGAAGTAAGACCTGTTAGTTAGCATGAACTAGCGAAAGTATGGAATGCTCCCCCCCCCTTGCCCTAAGCTGAAGTGCACACGTAAGGGTGTTACACAAAAAGAGAACAATATCTAAGAAACATGAGATGAAGCCTCAGACTTCTGAAGTTCCATCGAATGACGACAAACCAACATACCCCATATCCGTTTCCCCTTCACGCTCCGCAGGCTCAGCTTCGAGTCCATCACATCGATATCATCTACAGATGTCTTCAACTCGTTTTCTTGAATCGTGCGCTCTTCTGATTCCTGTTAACGACCAAGATCAATACCGATGCCTCTTTTTTGATAGAATATTCCAGCTAACCTTATACAAACTTCTTGGCACAATATTCTTGATATCGATCAGGTTCTCGTAAAACAACCGCGATTCATCATCTGGCCATAACGACACATGTCCCTCCGCAAGAGCTTTATCCATCTTAAGACAAGAAGGATCTCAACTGTAAGAAGAAAATATGTCAGAGACCACTCACTTCCATTGCAGCCATCTCGTCTTCCTCGTTATCACTCGGTTCTTCCTTCAGTTCAACCATCGGCACTCCAAGGGCACTACTCAACTCTGCTGCCAAGGCTTTCAGGCGCTCGTACTCAGCTCGTGCTGTCTCCAACTCCGTCTTCTCTTCAACCGTTGCATCACCTGAACTCAAGAAATGAAAGAAGGCTACCCAACCGCTTCCAGACAATGCTGCCGTGAAGAAAGTAGCCTATACAAATCAAGCTCATCAGAATATCCCATAGTAAAAGCATGATAGACTTGAAAGTTCACTCTAGTCTAACAAAGGGGGAAAAAGGAAATCGTCATATTGGCACAGTTCTTCTCTTACCGACTTAGAAGGGAGAGGGGAGGGAGTCACTGCATGTCCTGGGTAAAACTGCAAAATACACCAACCTGAAAGTTTCTCCACTTGTACGACCCCTTCCCTCTTTTCATCTCCCACCCTATCTACCACCTTCCTAAACTCCCATTTTCCTACCCGCTTTTCGCAGTTTTCTTTTCAATTCTCCACATTTTTACAGTTTTCTTTTTAATACTCTAATTTTTTCGCAGAAAAATGCTGTCGAGGGAATAGCCAACGATAGAAAACACTTTATCAGAGGCAGTACGACCCCCCACTAGCGACGAAACAATTTCCCCCTGGGAACGCACAAGGTGGGAGGCTGAGGGGAATATTAGCGACTACGATACAGCGGTTCCCTCTTCCGTCCGGGTAAAACCAAATGTGGTTTCAATAAAAAAAAACTAAAAAAATTATCTCGGCAAACTGATGAAAATGATGTAAGCTCCTTAGCTCAGCTTTAATATAAAAATCCAAATTATCCCCACTTACCCCTTGTTCTCTCATGACGTTTCACCTTTTTCTGTACAACATTCATCACAGCACAGGCTTTCTCCAAATGTCGGATCAGTCCAGTATGGTAATTCGAGAACAAATCATTCACAACCTTTCGATGTTCCGGAGTAATCGCTTCATTCACTTTCATATCACCTATAAACTATTCTGTACGTCAAGAAGAAGTTAACATGGTATCCCCGCTTACCTTCTTCTATAGAAATTCCCTCACTTCCCTCGGGAGACGGAACGATTCCAGCAATCTGCCACCCAACAGGACGACACAGCGAACATATCAATCCGACCTGCATCACAGAAGCCTTTATAAGAAAATAAGAAAAGTATAAATTCAATCACCCGGGGTGGAATTGAGCACTCCTAATCAGGATCCATCAATATCTATGGAAATCTAATTTATAGTCTAGTTCGCTGCTGACAAAGAGCATGCCAGGCGGGATGAGTTTGGCGCGGTGCCAAACCAGTTCTACACCAGCAGTTGAAAGCGAACAGTGACACTGACAAGACTATATCATATCGTTCTTATCACTCGCTTTCTACCAATTGTTGTCGCACACCCGCTTCAGTAACTTGCAGAGTACTGTCTTGGCGCCACACTTACATCCTGCCTGACACGCCTCTTGATCCGCAGTTAACTAGAGCATAGATCAGAAATACGAAACCATGATAAACCATTTCGTATGAAGTAATTTGGAAAACCGGTCGATTCGGACGACGCTGAAAGCCAAGGTCACCGTATTCGGTTCTGAGCCCTGCCCATAGTGCGCATGCCGGGCACTGGGCTATGAAGATCTTACCTCCTCCCGTATCAGAGCGCTTCCCAATAACCTGCAGTGATCTTAACATTACCCACTATATGAATAGGTGGAAGAACCGGAGCAAGAAAAAAAGTCCATAAAAGCTTGGCTTGGGGGGGGGGAGGAGAGGAGTGGGACAGCGAATGCTAATTCGCCTAACTTCTACTGGCCACTCTAGGCATTCAAACTCCTGGCGAGCCTGGTGTGATCAGCTTGGCAACATTTCGGGCTAACTTGCACAATGAACCGTGTACAGGTCTGAGAAAATGGGTATGCTGTTAGTTAAGCAGGAGGCTTGCAATAAGGAGTAAGCGTAAGAGAGTAAATGGCAGACTGGGAGTGCGCTCCCCGAAGAGCCGCACAACGGCCACCGTTTGCATGTTCGCTGGATGGCTCAAGGGCATTTCGCATCATCAATATCTGGGGAAATGGGGGAGGCGTAATCACGATCATTCGAGGATTTGACTTTTCGCAAAGCCAACTAAAAGGGTAAACGAATTACCGGGCGAAATAGCAACAAGAAAAGGCACTTTCTTTTGGGGCGGCTAAAGCCTAGGCATTGATGTTATCCCTTTGTTCTGTGATACGGCAGATATTGGAAAGAGTAGGGCAGGGGCCCCACGCCAAATTCTGTAGGCGCTTCTTTGCGCCGAGCAACAACGCGCAAAGAATCAGGCTCGCAAGAGTAAGCCTGAAAACTTGAATGTTTAAGATAATTAATAAAATTAAATAAAAGAAAATTAACGGCGATTTCGCTGGGGGCCGGACATGATGAAGTACGGTGCCGTTGAATAGGCGTTGGGGAGGATCGGAAGCCCCTTGAACACGGTAAGCGGCCTTGCGCGTTGGCGGAAAAATACTACCACCTGCAGAATGCGATGCAAGGAACTCGGCTCGTGTAATATAAGGCCCCCGCACCCCCGCCCGCCTTCTGCGAAGCCGCCTAAGCTAGCCTACTATTCTTTCCTGAAATCTGTCTAACTTTGTTGCGCGGGCAGTCACCTGTCGGGCGGCTCTGTAATTTCTCGCCCACTTTAGAATAAAAGAATAGCCTAGACTACCCTAAGCGAAGGGGAGGCTGGACGCAATAAGACAGGCAGGCCGGCAGTAAGGGGAATACCTATACGGATGAAAGTAGAAAGATAGTACGCAAAAATAAATATTTTTGAAAAGCAACACATCTACATCTCAGGCTCGCCATTGCACCTGGCGCAACACCACTCCCGTAGCTAGCTGAAGATCTAACATATTGACGGTTCCCTGCTTGTCTTAGTTGGGGCGGAAAAGTCTGTCATTTTTTCGAAAGCTCTAAGTATATTTGGGGCCTCGTTAGTGTGGAGAAGGTGTGAATGGTAATGTAGGGCTCATGATAAGCATCAAGAGATGTGGTCTTCCTATTAGTAGGGGCACTCGTTGAATTGCCTGCGGGCTCTTCTTTCGTTCTTCTCTGGGGCAATAATGGAACACGAAAATGGTTATCCGCGCTACCCCGTCATGGGCGCACCGAGCCCCTCAAATGCTTTTTCTGATAGTGGGCACGGCGCATCCCAACTAAAGGTTCATAGCCTTCCTCATATTCAATAGAGGCTGGATGCTCTCCCCTTGCATTGGTGTAGCAAAAACATGCCCTTCTAATACTGCGAGTTGGCTCGCCGTAAAGCTGCGATTACATTGTACTGAAGCGAAAAGTTTAGGCGAGAAACTCGAGAAAGTCTTTACAGTTCAAGCCAAGATTGAGATGATGTCCAACTTTGTATCGCGCCTCCCTGCATTGTGAAGCGATGGCATCCATGAGGTGCTCAAAAACAGGCAAGGACCCCGCAGTAACATTGCTGTACAATTTTGATCTTACACGCCTCTCTATAAAAAAAGCCCAATTTGAAAAAAGTGACAGAACTTTCCCGCCAACCTAATAAAAGCCAAATTAATGTCGGGGTATATTCTTAATGAATTGACATTAGCGGACTGTAACACCCACTTCCAAAGTAATTAAATAAAGATAAATAAACAAAATACTCAATGATGCAGCGAAGAACTCACCTCACATCAATACGCAGTTTGGCAGGATTTGAAATCTTATCAGCACGCTTCAAAGGCAATCCCTTCTTTATCTCAGTGAGGATCAATTCGGAAAACTTGGGATATCGAGACGCTATTGCTACACAGAGGTCCACTATGGGAATCACATCTGACGGCTTCAGCTTCGTTTCAGCGATTCCCTTTAAACTGGACAATCGCAGAATGATACCTACATCAAGAGATTCAAACTAACCGCCGCCATTTCTTCCACAAACTTGGATAGATTTAGCCGAGAAAGTTCGTCGATCAGTGACGGGATATTGGCAGCCGACAAGGATTTAAGCTTTTTCATGAAAGCCGTCGTCTTTTTGAGTGTGGAATCGAGAGAATGTAATGCATTTTCATCTGTAGTCTCCACACTAACCAAAGAGGACCGGTGCGACTCCTGTAATCATAAAGCTGAAGGTAATACTCTCGTCAGGCAAGAACTAGCTTTCGCTAGCGATTGTTCGTTATAAGCTTTGCTTTTCTTTTTGAAAAGGTGTTGAAGAGCAGAAAAAATACATAGAAAATTGGGAAAACCATGACATCTTCGTAAAGAGAGCCATGAAAAGTGACGAAAAGCAAAGCTGGAAGTTTCAGAAAGCGAACCATAAAGTAGATACCTAGTTCCTTCTAACAGCAGATTCAGTTTCATAAAAACATGGGGCGCTAAGGAACCATAACTACCCCAAAAAACCTCAGAAGAATTTTCCACGGAAACTTTGCTTATAGGGTTGTTCCGTTTGCTGATCGGTAATAACTCGTAGACGGAGGTTATCTGACATCCTGATCACGAATATGACATTCATTTATGGCAACGCTAATATAAGCCGCTCAGAAGTCCATGCTCTGCTACGGCTGAGCCTGGCTGGAAAGGGATCATTCCTTCTCCAGGCTTAGCCTTAGCTGAGCACTAAATAGTGTTTGGGTGAAGTGAGTTTGGTGTTAGCTATTAGGACACCAAATAATCCCTATGCGAATTACACCTATTTTGGTGAAAAAGGTGGTGGCGCCAAACTGGCGACTTGTGGCACCAGCAGCACCAAAAACGACAGTTACAGTCTGTGATCAAGCACCGAATTGTCCACAGTTCCATCAAAAGGTACTAGTAGTACTAATTCAGGTACTGATAGTTCAGAAATGCCGGAAATATTGAAACCTAGAGTCTGATATGTTAGGTCAAGCAATGATTTGATCTATATCATTGCTGAGCCAAACTCACCGTGAAACGACTCCCCACACTGAAAACCGCGCAAGCTTTCACTGATATTTTCGACAAGGGACTTTCAGAATTTCAGAAGGCTCTTAATATTGTGCTGTCCCGGGGACTCATCAGAATGTTCCGCAACAATAACTTCGACAGATTACTTGGAAAAAAAGTTAGGAGACGTTGAAGAAGATCAAATTCATATACACTGAATATTTCAGTGCATACCACGCGATCGGCCCGTGATCAAATCCAGGTTCGGCTTTCACCCAGGCCCGGCCTTCTACCCTCCCGAGAGGAATTCGGCTGGAAGGGTGATAACACTGACTTTTACATCGGCTGGACCAGCAAGTCATTGTACAGGCCACATTGCATCCAATAAGCCACTACGACTCTGTACGGTGGAAGTACGCATCTCCAAAAGGGAGTGACTGCCATCGGAGACTTTACCCTTTATCCTTTTATTTGAGTGCATAGCGCAATCATTAGCGCCCTGAAACTCGTCAAACTGCAGGTATAGCTTTACAGATATCTCGTTAGCTAGTCCACCTCGATCTTTTGAGAGACCGAGAAATGAGCTAGCGTAACACCTTTACCGATTGACCACACTGTTTGATGCCATGTCATGCCACTGACGAGGGTGTCGGCACCTTGGTGGAGTACGACGGGATGAGATTCTCCCAACGATGCCTACTTTGTGCGGATGGATAACACGTTTGCATCCGCCTTCTGGTGGGGCACAGGACTTCAGTACTTGGGCGCTGAGAAATGCGTCCTGATAGTAGGCGAAGAAATTGCAAATAAAGTTCTGACGCAAAATTGCCCGGCCATATCCAGTGCTTAAACAAAGGAAAAACTGTCTCTCTTGATCTACGAGTTTGACTGCGGTGTCGAAAAACAATATATTTTTGGCCACAATCCGCAAACGAGGCCCGGTCATCGGAAGCTGCATCACTTCACTAGCCACTTACATCTGTTTCATATCTTCAAAGGTAATACTTTCACACTGGACGATCACTTTCATGCACTCTTCCGCAGGACACTATGGAACATTTGCGTGATTCCCGGCCAGTACGGATACTGCTGACCAATTTTCAAGCACTACATGTGGATTCCCTCCTGATCCGCATGTAGTCGCTGGGAATTTGGAATCTTCCCAGAAGAATCCAAATCACGCTCCATCCAGACCTCGAAACGCGATATCACTCATATTTCAAGTTTCAAGAGA